TGACACCACACATTATGATTAGGCATTGATTTTAACACATTTAAAAATTTTAGGTGTCTTTAAGCCCTAACTGCACACAGTGAAGAGAAAACAGAGGTGTAAAATTCACAAGTTTATTGGCCATTTACTGCTGATCAGACCTTTTGAAGAAATCGTGAATTGCCCACTACTTCATTGCTATAGGTATGTGCCTTCAGCACAAAGCTCTCTATATACTAAAACCTCGATATAATAAAGTCGGATATAACAAGGTAAATGAAAAATAGTCTTGTAATAGACATAGTATTAGGAATAAACCTTTATAATCAATATTTGGATATTACAAACCTATTTTTGTGTAAGATAGTATTAAGAATAAACCTTTATAATCAATATTTGGATATTACAAACCTATTTTTGTGTAAGATACAGTTTTGTTATAATAAAGTTTCAGTGTATCAGTTGATAAGCATCACGGTTTACCATGCGTCTGCTTCGATTGAAATGCTTGTTTATTTGCAAACCCTTTTGCCTTGAAGGCTTCAGGTGCTTATTTTTCATTTTTAGACTGTTAGGATTGTATAAGCTCACAAATTTTTAAATAGTAGTAGGAAAGCAGCAGATATTGTCAATTATGGACCTGCAAAATGTATTAATTAACCGAATGATGAAGTTTGAAGGCTTTTAAATTCATTGAAAGAATAGAGGGCCAATTGAAAAATGGAATTTTGTTTGAATTAAGAGAGAGTATGAATTATCAGAGTTTGAATTATCATGAGTCTACTGTACTTACTGATGACATTGCAAAAGTATCCAAGTATCTTATGGGGCAAGTGTTGTCTGAGATACATTTATTCTGCTGGTATGTTGCGCCTGTATCTCAAATACTTGTCATCTCTGTCTCTTGTATCGTATCATGATTCAATTGCTAAGTATCTTTGTTTTGATCTTAATGCCAATATAAATGGCAAGACATTGAATTGGTAGTTTTGCAGCTACCGTATTTACTCGATTCTACCGCGCCCTCGATTGTAACGCGCACCCGATTTCCACCGCGAAAAAAAAAAAAAAACGTAAGACATCGATTGCAACGCGCACCCATTTTTTCTCGCTGGCCCGCATGATCACACCACTCGAAAAAACGACTCCTTTCGGGAGCGTCTTCCATTTAAATATGAGGTACGGGCGAAGCTTGTGCCCATCTGACGTGTAACAGAGCATTGCCGTCACTGTAGTTTTACCGTGGACCGATGTCAGCACGCGAACTTGCTTCGCCCCTTTCTTCTCGACGGTTGTGGTGCCAGGCATGTTGAAGTAAAGAGGCGTCTGATCGGCATTCCCGATTTGCCCAAGCAGGTAGTCGTTGTTGCGCCGCAAGTTTAGGACGAACCTCTGAAAACTGTGAAGCTTTTCATCGTACTCCTCCGCAAAACTTTTCGCATATGCATGTTCCCCTTCGGAGGGAAAAGCCTTTCCTCTTCATGAAGTTAGTTAGCCAGCACCTGCTCGCTTAAAACTGGTTCCGCATTAGACATTTTTCGAAGACTAATTGCATAGCCCGCACTTGGAGCAGTTCTGCCGTCACGGGCCGCTGTGCTGCTCGCTGCTAAAGCACATACTCGCCGAGCAGCTCTTTAATTTGCGGAAACCGACCCTGCTGTGGTTCACTGAAGCCTTTGCGTAAAGCTTTGCTGTCGAAAATCTTCTGCTTTTGTTTCCGTCGGTCCCGCACGCACGTTTCGGGAACTCCGAACGACCGCGATGCGGCCCGATTTCCGTCCGTTTCTGCACACGCGATGACTTTTCTTTTAAAAGCGGCATCATGGTGCACTCGAGTTTTTGGAGTCGGCCATTCCATGCCGTCGATGCTAATGCACTACTAGATGACGAACTCCTCAGCACACGTACGAAGTGCCGCACATGAGAAACACATAGGCAGAAATGGACGACGCGCCATGCCGACGCACGTAGGGGGCGGCCATTTTAGATTTGCCGATGGCAATAGATTGGCCGTAATTTTTTTGTTCGTACTCGATTCTAACGCGCATGCGATTTATGAACTCGCTTAACCGGAAAAAAGGTGCGCGTTAGATTCGAGTAATTACGGTAGTTGCATGATGAATGGAACTCATAGGTCCAAAACACTAAGGCTGCAATAAGTGCTCTGTCTGGTACAATAAAACTTCCATCAACTTTCTAGAGCTATAAGCAAGAGGCAGGACTCCTCGTCTGAACAGCTGCTGCTTCTGCCACTCCCTTCAACAGGACTCTATTACTTGTCTTTCCTGATGCCCTCTCTATGAGGCTCTTTGATCTCTCTTCCTTTTTTTTTTATTGTGTTTTCTTGTGTGTTGTTGCATGAGCATTCTTTTTTCTGGCAATTACCTGTGCACCTTATGAAAAAGGAGTACATACAAAATAACTTATTCATACAGCAGTGTTCATGAAAAAAAAAAAACAATTCAATAACTATAAAAAGGTATAAAAAAGGACACTTACAAAATACACTTAAACATGACAGGAAGACACAATCATACAAGAGGCATAACTGGCAGCATAGAGAAATAAGAACAAATGGAACTGAAAAAGCCATGTGCGAAGAATTGAATGGATAACTAAATAAAAAGGTAGCAGTTTCGGCACAAGGCGGAAACAATGAATGCGATAGTAACACATCAGACTGTTATACAAAGTAAGGCTAGGAGACTTGGGAACCATACAAAATGTAGTGAACACGGTCCAATGTGCGTTGCATTGCAGCGTTTCTCGCATGCGCAGCATTATGTTCTTCCTGTGTGTGGGTACGTATGTGAGCCCATCTTGCTTCAGTGCGACTAGCATTGCGCTGGAGCTGTGCGTACGACACTCGGTGGCATCACAAAGGCCAAACTACATAAAGCGTTTTTAGCCGGCATTAGTCTGGCATTTCCTTCCATGGCGTCAGTTGACGTTTGACATTGTCGATACCAGTGACGGTAGCAAAAAGTACAGTTTCAACCTTTATGAAAATGTCCACCTCAGATTGTCCCAGACATCGTAGTGTGGGTGTCGATGTCGCAAGTAGCTGGATGATGGGAGAAGATTGCTTGCTTGCTTGTTCCTTGATTTATAGCGCCAACCCACCACGGGGGATTGGCTGTGAACCCAGCAGTTAATGTAAAGAAAATTTTCAATATTGAAATGGGGTGAGGTAGCAATCGATTGCCTTGGGAGTAAACAAAAATTTTAGAATAATTAACCCACAACTGGCAGCCACTTCCGCTGGCCTAAAGCTTGTCACTAATACGAAACTGGATTGTTTGTCTTTAGAAGCTTCGACAGCTGTCATGTTAACGCGCGACTGGCAGCCACTTCCACTGGCCTAAAGCGTCGTCACTAATACGAAATTTGATTGTTTGTCTCTAGAAGCTTCGACACCACAGGGCTCATGATGGTTTTAATCTATTTCTGAGAACTACACTCTAATTAATTCGGACGATTAGCAGGAATGGCTGTATTTGCCAAACATGTGGACTCAAGGACATAGGACAAAGGATGGGAAATCACTGAGGCCATATGTATATTACCAGCTTGTGTTTCTTCTTGGAATATAAATAGATGGCCTTACAAGTAAAACAATGAGACAAAAACCTTTCAGCGAAACTAGCTGTGATTTTTCGTGCTGCATAACTACAAGCGAGACATTCAAGCTTTCTTCAAGAATGCTTTTTTTATTTAAGTTCATTGACCCTAAGCCAATGGTAAATTGTGTATATATATATATATAGCTCGCCGTTAGTGTGATGCATAGTGAGAGCGGCACAACCTAGTTGGTTATACAGCCCACTGAGGAGTGAGGGGTTCCTTCGAATCCCCGGTGTTGTGTCTTTGAATTTTTTTTTCTGATTCGCGATTTATTTTTTTTGTGCTCTCTCTTCCTCTCTCATATATATATAATATATATATATATATATATATATATATATATATATATATATATATATATATATGTCAAGTAGATCCTCCGTGAGCAGTCACAACATGGTTTATTTTGACGTTTCGGCCTACAGTCTGGCCTTCATCAGGATGAAGGCCAGATCCTGATAAAGGCCAGACTCTAGGCCGAAGCGTCGAAATAAACCACGTTGTGACCGCTAAGGAGGATCTACTTGACTATATGCAACGCTACGGCCACTCAATATATATATATATATATATATATATATATATATATATATATATATATATATATATATATATGATGGGGGAAGGCGGCGACAAAAATCAGCCGAAAGTATCCATATCACTGCTATCGCAGTAGTAACAAGTCGGCTTGCTAATGCTAATTTGGTTTACTGACAAAGGCACCATTACATTGTCAACTAAATCTAAGCCTGGCTTGTACTGTTTCGAGTAATAGCAGATTCTGTAAAGGCCTTACATTGGTAGCATGCACTAGTGTGATTAGTGCTACAAGGCAGTACAATGCTGTTTATGGTCCTATGTGATCGTATTTCATTATTTGTTGTTATGTTCAAACGTTCACTTGATGTATTGCATGAAGAAGAGCCTGTTCATGCTCTGAGCAGCTGTCTTTTTGGGAAAAAAAGAAAGAAAAGCACATATAGATAAAGTCATTTAACATCCTAATCTAAGTTATGTTTTGTAAATAACAAATTTATATTCTCTGTATCTGAATGATAAAAGAATAAAGAAAATAAAAGCGAACTTCTTAAATATCGGAGAATGGTTTGTCACTATTTCATTATGATCAGAAAAATTGGGGAGCTCTACAGCAGCCACATTTTTGTTGGCGTAAAATCCCCCATGTTCTTAAAATTAGGTGCATGTTGAATTACTTTTTTCTTTATTTTTTTAAACATACATTGAAGGTTTTGTGCTTCCATCTGTTACCATTGCCTAAGTCAAATGGAAAACTAATTCACACTTTCTTTCGAAGGCCATGCATAAAGACTAAAGAATAAACTAAAGAACACTGACGTGATGTACATATCTTGAAGGCACTGTGCTTCTGTGTGCAGATGAACCATTACCAAAGGCAATGGGATTGAAGACAAAGCCTTCAGAAGAAACAGTTGTGAGCTCCACACAGGTGAAGGGCATTCATGACAATGGCACTGTTAAGCACACAGTCACTACAGTTACGAAGACCACTATCATTCAAGGTGAGCCAGCGTTGTGTTGAATGTAAGAGGTTTAACATTTGGTGGTACTTTTATGGTAAGTTCCTCATGTAGTTTACAGGTACACAGGTAGGCTAGGGCACCAGAACTCAAATATTCTTCAGGCACTTGTTTGCAAAGAACAAACACAACTTAGCTTGTTGGTTGCAATATTGGTACATGTGGGAGGATTGAGGGCAGAATTCCATAGCTCCTAAAGTGTTGCGGTGATTCATTACTAAAAGTGATAGAAGAAAGTTGCAGGCAGCCTTGTGCCTTGTCATTAGGTAAATTTATACGGATGGCTGCTCGTCACAAAACCCAAGAAACTCAAATAAACATGCTTGCTATTTAATGTGCACCATTTCTTGCATACTTGGAGCACACAGCTGGACTTGCAGCTGGTTATGACCTTGCTAAGTTCACTCTATGAACATGGCAGCTCTTCACCACAGTTTCCACTTTTTTGCTCGTGTGTCAGTTTCATACACATTTTCATAGTGACATAATCAATAGCCATTGTAAGTATGCGCGTGTGTGTGTGTGTGTGTGTGTGTGTATGTATGTGTGTGTGTGTATGTATGTATGTATGTATGTATGTATGTATGTATGTATGTATGTGGTGGCTGGTATGCAACCAGTGCAGGTATACAGCCTTCACCTTTACGTCAGGTGAACATTTCTTAATTTTGGCATGGTTTACCATGCCATGGCAACGTCTCTGGCTACCATTCTTCTTAGCCCAAACGTTGGTTAAAGGGGTCGTGAGATGTTTTCCAAAAAATTTCAACTGCGTGTGTATTCAAAATCCTCCTGGCTGTTCTTTCAATACCTCAACTTGTTTCATTGTTCGGGTTTCCTTAATAGCTATAAAAGCACTAGTTTGATTCCTCGCTCACATTTTCCTCAGCAGTACAGCTGATGTCACTTCAAGTCAGCCAATGAAGTCTCTGTCATCGACAATACATGGTGACGTAACGATGTTTGCTGAGACATAGTTGACGCAGGTTTGTAGCATTACACAGTCTTGAATATGGCACCGTAAAGCCATCACGAATGTGCGAATGTTGTTTCCACTTTAATAAGTTGTACAGCTCTGCCTGATGGTGCACTCGGTAGGCCTAGCAAGGATTAAGCCACCCATAACACTCAGTAAAAGACAACCTAGCACAATTAGTAAGAAAAACTCTTGGATGCTGTGCCAAGCGAGTGAAGGCAACATGTGACGGAGCTCGGATGAACTTGAAAGTAGAACCAAGCAGATCACTTACTGTACTTCCATAGTATACACAGCTGAAAGTGCAAAAATTGTGTTATTTTTTTTCTAGGTTCCGATAAATTGCCATCTCTTACTTACCATGATGTTGCACTGATGTCGCATGTTGGGGCGTATGGCAGCCAATAATGCTGTGTGGTCACTTAAAAGCCCAAGAAAACTGAAATTTTAAACGAGCATCATTAATTATAGACTGGATATTGTGCTGAAATATTTGGCATGTCTAATCCTTATTCAAGCTGGGAAAATTACAATTGGGCAGCTTCATTTTCGCTTCATGATCTGCTCATGACCCACGGGTATATAAAAGCACTAGCTCGCGCTTTTATATACCCATGGTTTCTGTGACTTCATTGATAACAGTGTGCACTTCCATTGCTAATTTTGAAATTTCTCTTTTGAAGCTAAATTAATGGCAATTATTTAGTTATGTCTGCTCTGTAGCTAAGTACCGGCAAGATACAGCTGTTAGATACCTTCCTCTTGAGGGATAGTGGCAATCTACCTGTCATAATTTGAGAGTGCTTGCCGAATGTGCTCTACCCCATTCTTATTCTTCTAGTGGTTCAGCTCTGCGGTTATTACCTGCCCTAAGTAGACATAGTCTTTTACAACTTCAAGTGCACTATTACCTATCTCGAAGCGCTGCTCCTTGCCGAGGTTGTTGTACATTACTTTCGTTTTCTGCAGATTAATTTTAAGACCCACCTTTCTGCTCTCCTTGTCTAACTCCGTAATCATGAGTTGCAATTCGTCCCCTGAGTTACTCAGCAATGCAATGTCATCGGCGAAGCGCAGGTTACTAAGGTATTCTCCATTAACTCTTATCCCTAACTGTTCCCATTCTAGGCTTCTGAAAACCTCCTGTAAGCACGCGGTAAATAGCATTGGGGAGATTGTGTCCCCCTGCCTTACACCCTTCTTGATTGGTATTCTGTTGCTTTCTTTATGAAGCACTATGGTAGCAGTTGATCCCCTGTAGATTTCTTCCAGAATGTTTATATATACTTCATCTACGCCCTGATTCCGCAGTGTTTGCATGACGGCTGATATTTCTACTGAATCAAACGCCTTCTCGTAATCTATGAGGGCTATGTATAGTGGTTGGTTATACTCTGAGCATTTCTCTATTACCTGATTGATAGTATGAATGTGGTCAATTGTTGAGTAGCCTGTTCGAAATCCTGCTTGTTCCTTTGGTTGATTGAATTGTAATGTTTTCTTTACTCTGTTAGCAATTACCTTTGTAAATAGCTTGTATACTACAGAGAGCAAGCTGATCGGCCTGTAATTCTTCAAGTCCTTGTCATCTCCTTTCTTATGTATTAAGATGATGTTAGCGTTCTTCCAAGACTCTGGTACTCTTCCCGTCAGGAGACACCTCGTAAACAGGGTGGCTAGTTTTTCTAACACAATCTGTCCTCCATCTTTCAGCAGATCTGATGTTACCTGATCCTCACCAGCAGCTTTGCCTCTTTGCATGCTCTCCAAAGCTTTTCTGACTTCTTCTATCATTACTGGTGGGGTGTAATCTGGGTTACTGCTAGTTCTTATAGTATTAAGGCCGTGGTTGTCTCGGCTACTGTACAGATCTCTGTAAAATGCCTCCGCTATTTTAACTATCCTATCCATATTGGTAGTTATTTTGTCTTCTTTGTCCCTTAGTGCATACATCCGACTTTTGCCTATCCCAAGTTTCCTCTTCAATGCTTTGACACTTCCTCCGTTTTTCAGAGCGTGTTCAATTCTCTCCAAGTTATACCTTCTTACATCGCATACCTTACGTCTATTAATCAACTTCGAAAGCTCTGCCAGTTCTATTTTGTCTGTTGTGCTTGACACTTTCATGATTTGACGCTTCTTAATTAGGTTCTTCGTTTCCTGGGAAAGCTTGCCAGTGTCCTGTCTTACTACCCTGCCTCCAACTTCCACTGCACACTCCGTAATGATACTCGTCAGATTATCATTCATTGTATTTACGCTAAGGTTGGTTTCCTCACTAAGAGCCGAGTACCTGTTCTGCAGCGACACTCTGAATTCCTGTACTTTCCCTCTCAGTGCTAGCTGATTGATTGGCTTCTTGCGTATCAGTTTCTGTCGTTCCTTCTTCAAGTCTAGGCGGATTCGAGACCGTACCATTCTATGGTCACTGCATCGTACCTTGCCAATCACTTCCACATCCTGCACGATTCCAGGGTGTGCACTCATTATAAAGTCTATTTTCGTTCTTATTTTCGGCATTAGGGCTCCTCCATGTCCACTTGCGGTTTTCGGTAGAAGGTATTCAAAATCCGTAAATTATTGCGTTCTGCAAATTCTACTAGTAGCTCTCCTCTGGCGTTTCTAGTACCAATGCCATAATCTCCTACTGCCTGGTCTTCAGCCTGCTTCTTCCCTACCTTTGCATTAAAGTCGCCCATCACTATAGTATGCTGTGTTTTTACCTTACTCATTGCCGATTCCACGTCTTCATAGAAGCTTTCAACTGAAGCGTCATCATGGCTGGATGTAGGCGCGTAAGCCTGTACTACCTTCATCTTGTATTCAGTTATTCAGTTTAATTACGATACCTACCACCCAGCTGTATCTTGCCGGTACTTAGCTACGGAGCAGAAACCTGGAGACTTACAAAGAGGGTTCAGCTTAAATTGAGGACGACGCAGCGAGCAATGGAAAGAAAAATGGTAGGTGTAACCTTAAGAGACAAGAAGAGAGCAGAATGGATTAGGGAACAAATGGGGGTTAAGGATATCATAGCTGAAATCAAGAAGAAGAAATGGACATGGGCAGGGCATGTAGCGCGTAGACAGGATAACCGCTGGTCATTAAGGGTAACTGACGTGATTCCCAGAGAAGGGAAGCGGGTTAGGGGGAGACAGAAGATTAGGTGGGCAGATGAGATTAAGAAGTTTGCGGGTATAAATTGGCAGCAGCAAGCACAGGACCGGGTTAACTGGCGGAACATGGGAGAGGCCTTTGTCCTGCAGTGGACGTAGTCAGGCTGATGATGATGATGATGATTTAGTTATGTCACACGTGCTGAACAGTACAAAGATCATTGCAATCTGCCTTTTCCATTTTTTTGTGCTGCCCTCTGGCGTGTTAGTAGGGTTTGGTAGGAGCTGGGAGAACTGGCATTGCTAGAACGAAGGCCTCTGAGGCCGGGAGACGTTTCACGACTCTTCTGCTAGGGAAGGGCGCATGCGTCATGGCATTGTGGAAAAAGTGGATTTTCGCTCTCATTGTGCTGTGTGGATGTGAAATGGTCTTAGATGCCAGTTCACACTACAGATGTGTGCTTATTATTTGGCATCCAAGCAGTATTGTGGCACACAGTAAAAATTGTATTCGGCACTGTTGTGGCACACAGTAAAAATTGTAACCCATTCTACTCCGTCAAGGTGGATGGCCAGCAAAGCTGCTTAGCACACAACACAGAGGTCATATGGCAGAGGCAAGTTACATATCAAAGGCCAGGTTATGAACATGCGAATGAACATTCAAACCACTGTGCAGTGTCTATTATGGCTCATCAACGATGACACTTCAATCAAGGTACACATTAAATGACGTATGCTCACCAAGCCCACCTACAAGACTGAGTTCTTCACTTTGTGACAAGCATCATGATTTTTTTTTTCTTTATGAGTCTGTTTCACTGCAATACACTGTGTGGGCAAACCAGCTTACAAAAGCAGTTGAAACTGATTTTGGCTTCACTTCTAGACATGGATACATTGCTGGGAAGAAATTTTTTTTTTTTGTTTAGTGGCAGCTAAGTCGTATTATATAAAGTTGTGACACGACCTTGAGACTTATTAACTTTTTGCTATTGTTCTGAGGTATATGTGTATCTGGAGGAAAGAGGGGTGGATGAAGAATTTTATTGAGGTCCTGAAAGATTCCACCCCCGTTTTGTAGAGGGAGGATCGCGGGCCGCTCCCACGTCAGGTTGGGGAGGCCTAGCCTCACTGCTGGGTTGTGGTCCTTCTGGACAGCTGATAGTTATAGCGCGGGAACAGAACAACGACAAAGAGAGAAGAAAGACACGAACGCTAACTTCTAATTGAGTTTATTGTGCATGCGTGAAAACATATAGAGGAGAAAGTAAACCATGTGACAAAAACCATGTGGCACAAAAAGCAATGCATGAGTAAGGGAAAAAACAAAAGCACAGAAAAAGGCTAAGAAAAGTCTATAAGGAAACAAAACAGTAAAGTAAAGTAAATATAACTACTTGCGTGCACCAAAACCTTCAAGGAACCTTAGTTCCTTCTCGGACAGAGACACGGAGGGCTTGCTAATGCATGACACCTGTTCGCGTGCCTTCTGCGAGGCCTTGACGATAACTCGGGTGCGCTCATCCCTGTGCTTATACAGCGTCACTGTGTCCTTGAAAAGGGGCACACAGTTGCACTCAGTGCAGTGCTGAGCAAGAAAACCATCTTTCCCGTTTCTAACATTGTAAGTGTGTTCTCTCAGTCGATTGTTCAGACACCTTCCGGTCGTTCCAACATAACAAACACCACAGAAAAGGGTGTCCTATAGACAACTCATTCAGTTGATGACTGTTTTTTCAGGGGGTTTGTAGATTTGGTAAGACTGATTAATTTGAACGGTGCAGAGAACAGCACACGAACTCCCGCACGTTTTCTGATTTTCTTGAGCCTGTGTGATATCTGGTGTTTGTACGGAACGGCTATCCTTTCACGCTCTGTATCCATGTTGCTCGGATCCTGTTCCGGCCTCTGCTCTGCCCTGCTGGTCCGCAGGATAGTCTCAGCAAAAACGATAAACGCCTCAGGAAAACCCGAAGCCATAAGCCAGGACACTTGAGCTTTGAAGCTCGCATAAATGTTGTGAACGCACGATCTGTTCAAGGCATTCTCAAGGCAGGTCCGTGCTATGCCTCGCTTTACTAACTTGCTGTGAGCGCGAGAAAAAGAAAGTCATGTCCTACCAACTAGCCCAAACTGCCACACTTCTGGACAGCCTTGAGTTGTGGTAAGAAGACTGGGCTCTTAAGAATGAAATGAAAGTCATTTTAGAAAATTCCTTTTCATGTAAAGAGGGGCTACATAACAGATAATGCAGTTGACAATGCTCATCATTTTTTTTTGTCAGAATAAAACAGCGCGTGGCTTGACTGAACATTGTTATATGATGAATGCATAGCATAGCACTTATGGTTTACTCTGTAAAAATTTTATAATGTGTATTTGAAATATTTAGTTTAACACGTTCTTTTACTCGGTGGAATCTTTTATATTCACTTAGTGACTGGGAAAAAAAATCTGGTTGAACTTGAACATAGTTTTAAAGCCTTTTCTACTATAAAGACCCAACATTTCTATGCTTCAGCTTCCAAGTGCAGAGCTCCAGAGTTTTAGTTGCGGCCTTAGAAGCAATCATGTGCTGAATTCTCGCAGTGATGATGAGTAACTGTCATGCTATGACAGTGTTTGTAAATCTTCATATGTATCTAAAGACTTAGACATAAGATCATGTTGAGGTTGAAGATACAATGAAGTGAAATTGATGTGTTCTTTATTCAAATAATCTGTAGACTTCTGACACACATTGATGCTAAGCCCGTGGGCACTGCTGAGTTCTGTAGTCTTGGCTTATGAAGAAAGCCATTACCTCTGGTATCTAGATTGCTACATTGAGACTGGATGAAATTTTTTCATGCAGAAGTAGAAGAGCCCACTGGAGCCCCTCGGCCTGGCGAGTCCGAAACATGGGCATCAGATCTGGACACCAGCCAGGTTTCAGTATCTAGCCTCCCAGAGGATGAGCGAACAGAACCAACATTATCAAGTAGTGCCACCACTGCCACAGCTGACGTTGAGGCCCTATCAGGACCCCTTGCTCGCACCCAGGTGGAAGAAAAAGGTAAGTTCTTGTTATTGGGGATCAATAAGCATGCTGGACATCTGAAATCATTTTTGGCTTGATTTACCAGCTATCCTTTCGCAAGGAGGTAGCACTATGGCACATTTGTTCTTTCTTGCTGCCACTGGCTTGCTCATAAGGCTAGCTAATCACTATATTTCGTGTAAAAGTTCAACAAATTCTATACAGTTGAACCCCTTTATAAGAGGCATGCTCTGGGCAGCATTTTTTGTCTTTTATATGAGATGTCTTTTATAAGCATGGTACCATTTATGCATTTTCCTATTAACCCATATTTTACTGAAGGCCCACTGGTGTCTCTTATACCCACTTGTTTCTTATATCAGTGTCTCTTATAAAGGGGTTCGACTGTATATGACAACTATTATATAAGACTAAATTTCCATGTGAGCCCTTGTAAAATGTTGAGTTCTGTACACGACATTGTGCCCTAGTAGATACATTAATAATTGACACATTTTTCTAGTTGTACAAGGATCATACAGAAAGAACTTTAATATGTGAGAGATGTAGAGAATTGAAAGAAGAGGTGGTAATGCCTTTAATATGCACAGCCACATAAAGTCCTTCAACTCATCTGGGAAAAAGGCTGTTGAGGGCGATAGAAAAACAAAATTAGCTTGAAGGGCTGCTGAAGTTGTGGCCATTATAGTTAAAGTAGTAGTCTCAGAGTTTGGCTAATTTATTAACTCTTGCTTTTGAACTTGTCATGCTCATGACACATCTAGAAAAGCTATTTGTGCAACCACATCATTGGCCTCTTCATTAATATGGCTGCTGCCTTTCGGTGCACTCCTGCACACATTAAAAGCCATCTTGCATAGAGTTTTGCAGTAGTTTACTAAATATGGCTAAGAACCATGGGGAGGGAGCTCTGGACACTCAATACTATCAGTGCTGAAGGGCTGGCATGTCTGAGAGGTTGGGAGTGCTGGACTGTTTGTTCTAGTCTACCAGTGAATACAACTGACTGGCAAGCCTCTGGTAGCATGAAGACTGAAGAACTACACCTGGTGCATTTGCACATTATGTACTGTAGATTTAGTTTTTTGCTGTCACCTTGCATACAAAGTAGTTGAACAAACCTATTTACTGTGTATTGTTGGGTTTATATTTATTCAGCTAATGCTTTAACTCTCAAGTTCTTTCCAAAAAAAAAAAAGTGCAAAGGTTCCCACATTTTTTATCACCACATTTTTGGCACAAGTTGCCTTGATTATAAAAAGCTTGATATGTTAATAGATATCACTAATACTCACTCAGAATTATAAAAAGGAAAACATGCATGGTAAAAAGAACTTTCACTTTAAGTACTTGTAAAGATTAAGTGTTACTGTGAGGACACATTCATAATGAAAGGACCGTCATGAACAAAATAATGCACTTGAGGGCTGAAACTCTTCTGTATGCACTGCAGTCAGCTGATAAGTGAACGTCTTCACATAAGAAGAGCCAGGGTGTAATTCTTGAAGTTGAGTTGATGGTGCAAATGCTCGGACAGGGATGAAAAACACAGGACATGGACAGCGCCCTTGTCCACGTCCTGCGTTCATCCTTGTCCAAACATTTGTGCCATCAATTCTACTTCAGCCATGTACCAACTAGCCTGACAGCAAACACTAGTAAGTGGAGGGCAGTTCACTCTTTTTTATTTCAGTGTTATTTTTATGTAGCATAGTGAAATCCTTGCACACATTGGAACTGAACTTATTTTCTAAGCACACACCTTTATATTGACAAAAAAAATGTTAAACAATGTGGCAAATGCGGCTTATGCATGTAAAAGATGCCCCTGAATTTGAGAGAGACTAAAGGATACTGAAGGTAATGATCAGAAAAATTTACTTTAAAAAGTTATATTAAAAAAAATAAGCTAATATTTTAAAAAGTATTTTAATATCTTTTTCTGCTTATCTCTGTGCTTATGTTAATGATCTCATTAATAAATATAACCTAAATTGGCTGCACAAGTCCATTTAGGTAGGGACATGCTGTATGTGGCAGTTTTCCGCTAAAGTGTTTGTTAAGGAATGCAAGTTTCTGCCACAGAGGCCATATTTCAGGGAAAACTAATGCAAGGGCACTGATTACTTTAAGTTAATAATAAAAAAAGTCGAACATTTAATGTAGTATAATCTACAACCTTGTACTGTGACCTTTCCATGTAACCATCCTGTTTTTTTTTGTAATAATGAAAGTTTTCTGTCAGTTGTAAATAATAATGAAACTAATTTGTTCTTTATTTAATACTATGTATTATACACTTACACTGTATAATGCACATACAAATAAAAAGGTTTACGCGTAGAAACTTCTCATAGGCTAAAGATAGGACATATAGTCAGAAACCTTATCTCAGATGTCTAACACTGGCTCATCCTAGAGGATGTCATGCCTCTAGAGTATGTTTGCAGGTCTGTACTTTTGCTGGGGTATCATGGAAGTGAACATTTAATGTTCTTTTGCACATGTTTTAGGAAACTATAGTGTCAGATAAAGCCAATTTAAAACAGTGTAAATTTGAGTTTACTTTCTCTTAATTAATCTGTATTAGGTTTATTTTGTTTTCACTAACAAGGTGATCTAATAAACTTAAGTATAAATGTCATGAAAGCATAGAAAAAAATAACTTTAAGAATTTCTCCAACTCTGAACTTGCTGTAACTGCGTAATCCGAATTTGCCACTTTGTCTCAGTTTATATTTTGTCTTACTATAAAAAAACAAAACAAAAAAACGTGTCTTAAGAAAATATATATATATATGTACATAGGTTTTGGCATGCTATAGAACTTCATTGAAATTTTAAAAAAAGTCAGGACCCTTGTCTGTCTGTCTTCAAAAATCTGAGCACACCCAGCTGTCATTTCTTCTTAGTGACCTCAGGAAGAGTTGGGACATAGACTAGTATCACTCACCTTTTATGGTTGTGGTATTATCAGGTTTAAGGGCCAGTAAACAGGCTCCGACTTTTCTGCTACACTTCTCAAACAAGCTTGCTGATTTGTAGAGAAGGCCGCGGGGAATATAATTTACAGATATAGCAGCCTGCACATTGCACAGACGCCTCATTTTGAGAAAAAACATGTCGCTCTCCCTTTCGACGCCTGTCTAATCATATTCGCCCGTGAAGTGATGTAATGTTACCCCTGGCCAACGTTGCAAAGCTCTGACTTCACCAATCGGTCCTTCGCACTATAAAACAGTGTGTTAGCTCAGTGGTGATGTGGTTTTTTCTGTGCAGTTATTGCACGTGTTGCGTGTTTGCTTACCCTTGCCAGTGCTTCGCTTTCTGACACCTTGCTTCTTCACTGCACTGCTTTGACACAGCCAACATGTGGAGAAAGTCATGCTTGGCCGTTGGCTGCACACCGATAACATAATTACTGACACAATGTTGCATTGCTGATGAGGTGTAGTTATGACAGTGGGCTACACCTATTCCTGTTCGCTGCGGAGAAAGGTGGCGATGTAGAATGAGAAACCGAAACTAGTGGAAATAGTTTTTATCTCCTGTAACTTCAGTATTACATCACTTATTCACAAAATTCTTGTGGCAGCATGTTCAAATATTGCAAGTGTGCTGTCCCCTCTTCATCACAAATTTTGGACTGCAGAGTTGTTTACTGGCCCTTGAACATCTTCGACCGGGGAGTTAATGAGTTACACATCAAATTTAGGTTCTTTCACAAATGGGGTGCATATCTTGTATGGCTTGTGTAGAATTGTTGTTACTAAAATACTGTGTGAAATGATTTATTCTATAAAAAAATAATTCTAGTCAGAGTTGTTTAAACTGTTGTATGCATGACCTGTTGTTCTTGAAAATATGTTCATTGCATAGTGTCATGATCATGTCACTTTGCTCAAGTGTAATTTTTTTTTTTAATTTGAAACTTTGTGTTTGTCATTATAAATTATCGTATATTGCTATAATTGGCACCTTTAAACCTTAGGCTTGGTACATCATTTGATTGTCAGAGGTGTTCTTGTTTCACGCCACTCTAAAAGTGATCATTGTTTAGACTACTAGATATGGAATCTGAATGCTAACTGTCATATCACAAGCTATGGATGTTTAAAGCATGTGTTTTATTTATTGTGCTTTCAGATTTGAATCTTCTTTGAGGAGTAAACTTTTACTAAATGGCTCAAGCCTCAGCTGCTTTACTTTTCTGCATGATATGCATAGCAGTAGTGCATGACTGTCAACAGTGTTCTATACTTGCATGGAGCCTTGCACCCATTGAATACCTTAGAGGTGCTGTAATAGGATATACAGTTGAATGTTTTTTTTTTAAAGATTGATGCAGTACACCTTAGATGTCTGTCAAGGGCACTTGTGACAAAAAAAAGCTTCCACAATGTTTATTTGTCATGGTTGCTTGCAGGCAATAATATTTATCTTGTGTATTAGGAAGGCTGAGAAACAAGCACTAAGAATTATTAAAAGGCTATTTGAAACAGCTTTGCTTGGTAAAAAGTGAGATGTAATAAATTTTTTTGGCATTTTCGTCTTCAAAAAGCAACACCAAGTTAACACAAGTTTGAATTTGTTTAAAGGAAAGCTTGCGCTGCCATGTTGTAGCTATGGATGTCTTGGCTGTTAAGGTAACAGGGCGCATGAGTGCCTTTCTCTAAAAGAAAAACTCTCATTAAAAGAGCTGATTGATAATAATCTGGCTCTTCATGTTCGTATATTATCAATTATTTACACATTTTTAGTGTTACAAGTCCCACTTAGATTGCATAAGGAGTAAGTAACTATAGCAGCACTACTATGGTAGTAGCCATCGTGAACTTATTTACAGTGCAACACCAGAAAAATACAGGACAGGGAAAAAGCAAAAGAGAAAAAGAAAAGGCTCCTTTCCTGTCCTGTGTTTTTCCGGTGTTGCGCTGTAAATAAGTTCACGATGGATCCTAACCAACTGGCCCAACTTACCATCTTACTATAATAGTAGTTTTTGTTGCCATAGT